TTCACATGATATCATGCGAATTTCAATATGTTCTGTTATTCATCTGAAAATCGTGTGATATTCACATAAATATTACGCAATATTCATAGAAATAGAAGAGGAAGATATCATATGAATTACTGAGTTAGTTTTTTATTCTTTAGAAATGCAATACAAAATACAAATCATTTAAACAAGGAGCATACTATATTTAAAAACTGTGCTATGACAAAGATTAATACTTACCTCTCCTCCCTCGCCCCAAAAATGTCTCTGATATAAAATGCAACTTTAGTTGGAAAGTTGTATGCGTGTTCACAACAGATAAACAGATTCATTGTCTCTTCTAAAAATATTAATATTAATGTGGACTTATAAGGATGATTTTGTATATATACTGTACATGTATTTCATGCCAACACTTTAACAAACACATTTCACCAAAGTTTATTAAATAACAATCCAATAGGAATTGTGTTTGGATTTCTTACTGAGATACCAAAAAATATATAACCAGGGGAAAGGATTTGAATTTGACATTATTAAAGAATTATGAAAAAAGAATGATAATTCTTTCATTTTATTTCGAGTCAAACTTTGATTTCTTTATGATTTAATTTTGTATTTTGAATTTTTACGAATTTTTTTTGTTTATTTTTCATTTGTTTGTTGTTTGTTTTTTTGTTTTTTTGTTCGTGTGTGTGTGTGTTTAATTTTTTCATTAAGTACCTAATGATTAAGATGTTCTTAAGTTTGGTCAAAGAGAACGATGTATGCAGGTGAAACAACATATTGGCGTTATATTGCTGACACGTCATACTAGATGTACATGATTTGGATGAATTCTTTGTTGTAAACATGCTGATGCCAGTTTTTTAATTTTTCATTCAGATCTGATGCTTTTAAGTAAGGGGGAATCATAAACAATAGGGGGATAGTAATAGCTTGGCCTCAAAATGAAGGCAGTGGTGGTCTGACCCCCTTTAGTGCCAATTCGTTCTGGCATTACAGTTGTATTAGTCACCCTGAATTCCCCTATTGTGCTATTAAACTGAATTTCATTGTTGGTCAATTGTTACGCAATTGATAGCCAGATACATACCAAATGGAAATTTTAATGAAAGCGCCACATAGTGTGATATTAGAATTAAACATCAACCAAGCGTTTGAAATCAGGGAAATCTCAGTGTGTACTAAGAGTACAATATGAAATGAGGTTTTTCCTTGTAAATTATTTTGCAAATGAGATGGATAACATAAGAAATCCCAAACCAGCCTTAGCTAGCAGTCTTTGGTCTTTATTTATGCGACAAGACAGTATTGATGCGTTATTTTCATCTTAATAGAACATGATATTATAGACAGTAGTATGATAATTCGGGTATAGTTTATTGTATTTCTGATATCTTGTTAGAGATTTTTTTTCTGACTGTAGCTCTGAACAGAATCTTAATTATAGGAATCACGTCTCTCGCTCTCGTCACTGCAAGTTGTTGTAGAAACGATTAATATTTGAAACAGGACTTGGTGTATTCAACTCAGCACTGCTAACCGACATAATATGATCACGAGAAAGAAACAGATTATTTTTAAGTGTGCTTGAAAATCAATTTTCAAGCATTAATGACAGTAATTGCAATCAAACTTTTAAAGGTTCATGAAACCCAACTATTTAATTGTTTTATGATATTTTTAAGGATCATCGAAATTTTGTTACTCCACAATAGACGTGGATATGCTTTATTATTCGCATCATCCGGTTCTCATGCTATCTGATTATTGATCAGATTTCAACTCTGTTTTGATTTACAAATCATTCCTTTGCTAATCTTTCATTATTTTTTTCGTTTTAAAACATTTAGTCAAATATGCTATGTGAAATGTTTAAGTGCACATTAAATTATATGTTTACAAAAAAGCTAAGCTTTTACATTAAGTACCAATGGTTTCAATCGACGATAAAACCTAAATTTCTATCTTTAAAAACGTTTTATTAGTTGACAAATTGAAATAGATTACTGGTACAGTACTTCCTTGTTGCTAGGTCATCTTCAGTATTTCTCCGGAAGCAATAAAATTTTACGTCATCAATCCCACAGGCACTGAAAGAAAGATCTTTCTTTGTTAGTTAATGGCCCCAGACTAAGCAGACTCTTAGCACGGGAAATGAAACATTAGAATGCGATGTAAGCTTGCATAGCCCCTGTTCCAAATGATTAGATGTCTTTGTGAACACTGTTTAATAAAATGCGTCATCATCACTCGATGGTGATTTTAATCAAAGATGAAATTTGCTGAGCCAAAACAAGTCTATCGATGCTAAGGAATCAGTTACTTTTTTGGTCAGTTTTAGGAAAGCATCGTATACTTACGATATCAACCGTTCAATAACACTTTAGAAATGTAAACGAGTGAATTAAAGTTTATGGATTTTCAAGCAATGTTTTTAATGAATAATGCCTTTTTTAACAGATAAAAAAAATATAATTCATTAACATTAAAAAATAAATATTTTAATTTTATCTGTTATTAGCATTGCTTTTTAAAAGTTTTAGGTCAATACAGTACTTACATTTTTTAAAACTAAATTTATTACATTTATTGCAATATTTTTTCCTCTTAAATTTGTCATAAAGAAGATGGGTGAACAAGCAAACAAAATGCCTAGTATGCGACAACTTAGAAAGTGAAAAAATTAAATCTCAATGTTGATAAAATTTTCTTTGATATTTCATTTGACATTAACGTATACTTTAAGTAAAATCTCAGCTCTTTGCAAATATCTCACAAAGATTGACATGAAAAAGCATACACACACACACCAAAGAGGTCAAAAATTATCATTTTTTCATACTAAAAAAGAATTTTTCCATATGAGTGGGTCATTGCTACATTTTTTTTAAAGATTAAAATACACATTTAAATAAGAAAGCCCTAGCACCAACTATTCAAAAGTTATGACGAAGGTTAAAGTTTTGTAAAAGTAGGTCAAATTCAAAGGTCAAGGTCAAAGGGTCAAAGCTGTTGAAATCCAAAGAAAGGTCTTGTCACAAGGAGTACATAAGTGAAGTTTGAAAGCCCTAGCACCAACTGTTCAAAAGTTATGGCCAAGGTTAAAGTTGAGTAAAATTTTGCAAAAATGGGTCAAACTCCAAGGTCAAAGTCAAAAGGTCAAATATGATGGAACCCAAAGAAAGGTCTTATCACAAGGAATACACGTGTGAAATATGAAAGCTATAGCTCCATCCAATCAAAAGTTATGAGGAATGTTAAAGTTTTTGCGGACAAACAGACAGACAGATAGTCAGACGGACGGACAGGGCAAAAACTATATACCCCCGAATCTTCGATACGGGAGCATGAAAATATAGTTTTTGTGTAAATTTTGAGAAACTGGGTTTATCAATGGTATGTTGTATTTTTTTTAAATATTAACCATGGTTCATAAGTTCTATTTTACATAGTATAAATCACAGTTACTAGTAATATTTAGTTAATTATAATTTCCACTTGGAAACTAGTACTTCAAATTACATTTATTGGGATTTTTATTGAACCAGGACCCCTCGATTACGAAGCGAGCGCCCTACTACTAGGCTGGAACAAAAAAAAAGATTTATTATTTTGTTTTTAAATAGAATACTAGCACAAATCTTTCAGTTGTTTATTTTTACAAAAATATTAATCGCCAGTGGAAATGTTTGAATTTTTATTGCTTTTGGAAATCAATATGCATGAGTAAATTTATACAAGAAACGGTGGAATGTTCATGATATAAAAGTCAAAAGCTGTTAAATCATTTAACCTTCAGGCTTGTTTGCTGATGCAGCATTGTTAAACGTAAGTGAAAAGTGCTCCCATAGGCTTAATGAAAGCAACGCAAATAATTCAAAGCTTGCCGCTTTTAATATATAAAATGTCATTTATGAAAATTGGATTCTACATCTGAGAGAGAGAGAGAGAGGGAGAGAGAGAACATAAGTACAATTTGTATATTTTGGGGTGAATTTTTATTAATCAGATAGGTTAGCAATGATGCTATCTGTAATTCGATACATTCAAAAAATATTGAAAGCTGGTGCAGTATATTTTGGAAATACGTATAATTTGCCATTTTTCAATTCAAATAAATATATGATATTCTCTAATTATTATATACGAAACGTTTTGATATGCGGAATCTGGAATAGAAGGTCTGTTAGAATGAGTGGCTTAGCACGATGACAATTTTTAGCTCTGCTTGTCAGAGACCAGAGGAGCTTACATATATGCGATGAAAAGGTGTCTATTACCCGTCTGTCTGTCTGTAAACATTTTTTTTCGAAATGCTACTCCTACAGTTTTGGTCTGATTTCAATATTTTTTACACAAATAGACTATACTAAAATGCATTCTTCTATTTATAGGTTTTGCATTTTTAATGGTGTTGCAATGGTTTTAAAAAATAAAATTTCAGTGAAAGTCTTTGAAAACACTACTCCTCCTACAGTACGAAAACTAAGACTCTTTACACTTAGATATATAATTCTGTGTATTGATTTTTGATTTTGATGAATAGTGTTCGTGGTTACCAAAAATATAATATTCTTTGAAATTGTTTCAAAAGTCTACTCCTACAGCTTTAGTCTGATTGCAATAAAATTTGCCACACAAAGAGACTTAATCAAGGATCATTATTCTATTTATCGCTGTTACCATAGTTTCAAGTCCAAGTGCTACTTTTCTCTTCCTTTGTTATAAGTAGAAACCAGTAAAACTACAGTCTCGTCAGAGACTGCTCTTTCACGTGACATCTTCAATAGTCTGTCATTTTATGAATGTATACCACTGTATTAAAAATATAACGATATAAAATTGAATAAATTTTGACAATGTATAGTAGATTTATATCATGAAAATTCATAGAAACTTTCTATTTTCATAAAGAACAGTATCATTTTGATAAATGGTGAATGTTGCTATATTGTCATTGTTTTTCATATTGCTAACTTAATATTTTTCTTTTTTAATTTTCGTTGCAGTTTCAGGAGCACCAGTAGAGATCAAAGCAAAGGCAAGTAATTGAATATTTATTTTTAATTGCAATGACCTCATTAATTCATACGAGTACTCACCAGATGTCAACCTTAACAGAATCTTGTTATTAAATGTGTTGATTTGCATTACAATCACATTTCATCAATTGGCAACAATAGATTTATATGCAAAAAGCAGACTGGTAATTCAGAACTTTAGGAAAAAAGGTAAATATTAATTGAAATACATGGAGATAACGAACAGTATTCAAGCTCAAAAGTCCATTAAACAATACAAAATAGGAGGAAAGCAAACACGGGCCTCCAAAACATCAGAGGTGGGATCAGGTGCCATGGAGGAGTGAGCATCTCCTGCCGACCGGTCACACCCGCCGTGTGCTCCTTGTCATATCGGGAAATAACGGAAAAATCCGTCGACAATTCAGTGTGTAAATAATGGCCTAACAATTAGTATGAAAAACGTCAGTCAGCATTTGACTCAATGATAAATCGTATTTGCTGACAAGGTCATTATATCGACCATAGAACTTACCAAATGATGACTTTAAACGAGACTGTTGATATTCTTGTTTCATCAACTTGTTTGTCAATAATTTACTTCGTTTTAGAAATTGTACATACGTAGAGCATGCTCTTGCGTATCGAATTAACTGAGAGATATAAACCCCGTATGCAGGTGATGAAGGTATATTGCTGCATAAGTAAGGGAAGTTGACGATTGAAAAGTTAAAGTCATCACGTTCATCATAAAGCTTGGTTGTTAGATAGATGATTTAAATAATGATATGTTTATCAGGATGATATTGAAGAGTTAGATCTTTACAAACTTAAGCCTACGAGTGGAGAAAGAGGAACGTATACAGAGCAACAGAATAAATCCAGCGACGAACAGTCACCGAGTCAAGTCATCATTGGAGATGAAGTTAGAGAAGAAGAAAAAGAGAATGCTGAGGAAGAGAGCTTAAACAGCTTACTTAGGACTGTGTTGATCACACTGAGGGATCATCCTGATATTGTTATGGATATCCTTCAAGGTAGCATGGCGGACATACAATATTTATTCAATAAAATACATTTCTGCGTGAAAAGATATAGTTGTTCAAGGGTTCGTTTTGTACTAAATATTGACATTTTAAAAAAAAAAAATTCTTGATTGATGGCTGTTTGTATACCAGTATATTACCTAGATTTTTTACAAAGAAATTTAAGAAAATCGTTTATGATGTTAGTGGAAATCAATCTTGTGTTATAGCACTTGAAGATATTTAATTTAAAAAGGAGTAAATAAAGATAAATGAAGATTTTTTTTAAATTTTTTATTTCATTTTATTGCATTTCAGACGAAGAAAGAAAGAATATGGACTTTCAGCGACCACCAGAACAGTTGGATATGGTAATCATATAATGATGTTTAAGTCAAATAAGATACATATTGAAATGAAGCAATATTGACAAACCATGAATCGTAACACTTTCAAACAGAGACAGTCCAGATTGTTCATTCAGTTATCTTAGTGAACACTACAAATAGATAATATTATACCAAGCTTTATTTAGTTATTCAGTTTTTTTAATTTTTAGGAGCCAAAGCGAGTTCAAAAGAAAGGAGGTGAAATGTATAAGGCCTTAGGAGATTCAAGTGGTTTGTTGATTTTGAAAATAAAGTCTTCTATGAAATGACATGTCTTCTATACCGCCGCTATGTACATGAATTCATTTTGAATTCTATTTCTGAAAATTAATTTCTTTGTAGAATCTTCAGATTCATCGGACGAATCTCGGGAAAACTCGGATTCACGTGATGCGAGCTACTATAAGAATAAGTATGACAAATCTTCAAAATCTTCTCAAGATTCCGAAGAAAGTAGAGAATTGGATTTAGCTCATTATTATAAACAGAAATATAGAAAATCTGAAGATGATGACACAGGAAGTAGTGTCTCTAATGATGAAGATGACAGGGAAGAAAATAAAAAGTCAACAGTTCCTTTGGATAAAAGAGTCCCCGAACAACCAGAGGAAACCATAGATATTACGTCTCTTCCTGATGGAAATGACGTAGATTTAACGGATATGATTTCAGAGGGAGGACTGGAGGACCTGCCTGAGTATATAGAGTGGAAAAATAAACTACCAAAGCCAAGCAAGTTACTTACTTCCGATGTAAGTATCATTTAAAAACGCTTTGCTTATAGAATATAAATATAATAATATACAGTAAACTTTATACACAAAAATAAACTTTCTATAATTTACAATTGTGTCAGTTTTATAAACATTTAAAATTTGCTAATCATAAAACATGTATATTATTTTGATGACCTTAGTACTTAGAATTAAATATTTGAAAAATACAAATTTTAAATAATAACATTCTGAAGATGACTTTTAAATATCCTAAATGAATACTATGAATCGTTTTTTATTCGCGACAACTTAACTTTTGTGTTATTCCACGAGATTGTTTTGATTCGGAAATAAAGTTGTCGTGAATAATTACAGAATATAACTTAATACTTATACCCAGAGACTAAAAATAATGATATTATCACTTGAAAACAAAGCTACGCGAAATATCTGTTTAACTATAAATCTTATCACAAATTTTTCAGGGTTCCCTGAATCTCGGGAAAATTGCTCCTGGATTCATTCAGACATCCACGAAACTTGAAGAGCAAAACACACAACCAAGAAGCAAGGCTTTAAAACCAGTCGTCACAGAGGCACAAATGTCACAAAATAGTGGCAAGGTGGACAAGGGATCGTATACAGAGAACAAATCAGAGACGAACCAGACAAATGAGAAATCTTCCATTGATAAGTCAAAAGATTCATAACACCGTGTAAGTAAATATGTTGACATTTGAATTAAATGTGAGAATTTTATTTTCATTCAAAAAACTCTTTACAAAAAAGTAAACATATACTATTTATACAATGTTATTGTTATTTTGCATGTACTACAATAGACAACATTGCAAACGCACCACTTGTTATTCTTATTTATGAATTGAACATTTGCCTGATCGGTACTAGTATATATAATATGCAATTTTTTCTAAAACAGTGGGATTGATAAATGTCTTGGTATCATGACAAGACCCTTAAATGAACTTCTTGCCCGAAAACTTATTTCCCGACGTGCACTGCGCACCGTTTCTGCCCAGGTCACCAAAGGTGGTCCGTGAGTTTGCCACAGAAGCAGTCTCCCAGTTACCGGTAAAATTCGAATAACATATACAGCTATTGACTATAATATCGCCTAGTAGTCATCCAGTGCCTTGGTGTCCATACCATTAACCATGTAACTTAAATAAAGTTTTAAGTTTTTTAGCCATTTTAGCCAGTCGGTCGGGAGAGGGAAAACGAATTTTTTTTTTTTCACTTGAAGAAAGATGAAAATGGTTTGAAAATGCGTATGATTGAATTAGAGATAATAAAGTTCTTACATAACTGACTTAGAGATAGGTCTAATTGAATTGAACCTATATACGTGTATTTAAAAACAAAATAATCATCAATGAAAATTACCCTTCAACTACCAATGATAATACCAATATTAAAAGAGAAAATTTATGAGAGTGAAATATGAAGTTATTGAACAGTCATCAAGCTTGAAAGTCCATTAAAACAATTTGGAGTAGAAGAAACACCTACTTCTAAAAACATCAGAAGTGGGATCAGGTGCCATTGAGGAATAAGAGAGTTCCATTGTCCACATCTTTATTGCTGTTCAATTCACGTTTGGTTGATTTTCCTCTTTCCTTGTACTTATTATGCCTACATTTGTACCCACCGTAATTATTTCAGATTGATTCCGTTTTGAAAAGAATCGCTCTTTTGTTGTCTTTGGAATTTTCCACCCCTTTCAGGGATGATTTATTACTTTCATTATTGCAATGTTTAATTCTATCGAAATATAATTGAATTTAACATCAAATCCATAAGGGAATGTTTATTTGTTTAGATGCAGTCTCGTTTGAAGTCATCATTTCGCAAGTTTTATGGTCGATACAATGACCTTGTCAGTACATACAACCTACATATATCATTGCATCAAATGCTGAAGTTTTTCATACTTATTGTTAGGTCATTATTTATAAACTGAACTGTCTACGGATTTTTCCATTTTTTTCCCTATCATGACAATGAGCTCACGGCGGGTGTGACCGGTTGGCAGGGGATGCTCACTCCGCCATGGCACCTGATCCCACCTCTAAATTTTGAGGTCCGTGTTTGCTCTGCTCCAAATTTGTATTGTTTCATTGGACTTTCGAGATTGAATACTGTTCGTTATCTTCATATTTCATGCTAACTAAGAATACATGTGTGAATTATATAGTGCATTCTCTTTCAGTTGTTTCAGGATGCCAGCTATGAGACCCAATGTCAGTTAATTTAAGATATTAAAATAACTATCAATTTCAAAATATTGAAATACATATACACTTCGCTTTCAAATCAAAATACCTATCAATTTCGAAAGTATTTTTGTAAAACACAATGTACTCCTGATCCTCTGATTGTAGATATATATAACTGAATTTCAGATTTGTTTTGAGTTTCCAATTAAATACATGTACATCAAGTTACAGTTTTTCACGTAGGTGTTAGATGAAAATTGTGAAAGTGTGTTAGGCAATCCGTGTTTTTTCTTCCATTCTCTGAATTTTTACATGATTAAGTATCTACACTTTTAATTCGTTTGCAACCTAAGTATTTTCAGCTATTATTGATGTATACAAAATCATGGCGGAACCGAGGGTGTCTCCTGAAGGAACATAATTATTAAACATAGTCTTTTTCAATAAAAGCTATCTTATTCTCCAGCACTTCAACTACATTATTTTGTGATAATTACAATCTTTAAATTAAATCCATTCCTTGAACATTTTGACTGATTTCTTTATTCTTTGCAGGCAGCGGGAAGAAATTCTAAGAGTATTTATCGCGTCAAGAAGAAGGACACCTTTTGTTATTTTTAGAAAAAATTATATAAATCACTCTTTATCCATATCGGAAGAACAGCTTTTATATGATTTACATGTAATGTCTGTTCTCTTTTGTTTGGTACTATCTTTTTGCTAATGATAAATGTTATAATATGAGCTTGTAATACGATATTGTTGTATAATTTTTGTTTAATTGAACTAAATTTAAAAAAAAAAATGGTTTGATATCATTATGTTTGATTTAGAAATTATTATGGTTGGGTATATTTTTAAAGATTTATCCTATTAAAATTTATAATGTTAATCTTGTTTAAGAATATATATATATATATATATATATATATATATATATATATATATATATATATATATATATATATATATATATATATATATAAAATGGAGAGTAGTTCTTAGTTATCAATATTTCGTATTTTTATTGTTTTTGATGAAACTAAAAAGTGATGTTTTAATATTGCTCCATACACACTAGCCACTACTTGGAAACACTGCATTTACGTGAACACATGTAATCAAAAATAGTTAATACTCTTAAGTTCAAGGATGGTGTTTGTGGCAAGTAGTTTCTAGTTATCAATATTTCATCTTGTTATTGTTTTTTGATGAAACTAAATGGTCCTAAATGGAATTGTTGAATTTTCTTGTTATTGTGTAATAAGCCATGTTTATGGGAAATCAATAAATATATTCGTAACAAATGGATTATTGCTGAGTTTTTCACAAGAATAAATTGATATTTTCTGTACGCTCTATCAGATATTTCAATCAAAAAGCAATTTTTCACACGACGAATGTAATAATCGAGATAAAGTGCATTTCTGCAAATACCAAAATTGTCATTTTTGATATTTCTAACCATAAAACCATCATATGATTTTGTTTTTCACAATATTCTCTTCAGATGAAAAATTAAGCGCAATATTCGGTAACTTGGTTGAATTTTTTTTTATTGCACCATCAAGAAAAGATCTTGATGCGTCAAAGACCAAAATTCTATTCTGAAATGAGAATTAAATACTAAGTTCATATTTTGTCCTGGTAGAAGATAATGTACTAAATATTATGCATTATGATTGATGATAAATGAGCCTACTAAATCATCAACTATTGAATTTTCCTACAATTGCAGAGAAAATTGTATATAGCTTTACACCCATTATCTCCCATTAAATGGAACATAATGTACACGGATATGTTTCCTTTGTAAGTATGTTACTACTGAAAACATTGGTATATAAACTACGAGGGTTGATCCAAAAATTCGTGGAATTTCTTTCTTAAATTTTATTGTGACGTGTTTAAAGCAAACAAAAGACATATCTATAAAATAGAGCCATTATGCATCAATACTGGAAAATTTCACTACATTCCAATTAGCGTTAAGATCACACGAGCTTTTTTAACATGGACAGTTGTAAAATCCGGGGGAGACTTTGACGTAACGTCAAGTTAGGTATGTCACGTCACGTTCTAGGGGCATCTCACCCTCACGTTCAAACGGACTTAGAAATTCTACGAAACACTGCATTTTTTTCTCCATTTCTGCCTTCGAGGAAAGCCTGGGTACCCATTTCGCACCCACTTTCTTCATATTGCGATCATTTTTTTAAATACGCTCTGTCGTTCCAAATGATGTTCGATTTCAGTAGCAATGTCAAGCACAGTGCATCGGCGGTCCACGTCCATAAACGCTTTGAATTTGTCTACGAAGAAAGAACGACCTTCCAATAGGGTGCTAGACCTTTCATCATTATCGGAAGTTCTATTTTCCTTAAATTTCTTACGCCACTTGAAAACCAGTTGCTTACTGTACTCTTTTTCTGTCTGTATCATTAATATATGTATCTAAGTCAGAGTGTATCCGACATTTTCACAAATCATATTTACTGACAGAATTTCGACGTTGTCTAACGATGTCATAATAATCAATAAATTATCAATTAAAAAATTAAATATCCAGTAAAATGGATAAAACTTTCACACAAAGGTTTATAAAAGTCCAAGCAATCGTAATTATGATATCATTTTCGTTTTATATGGCACTTAGAGCATTTTGTTTTCCACAGTGAGTATCAAGAATTGAAATGATGAACAAATGAATGTCTCCCTCGCATTTTCAGATGTCCGTTTTTATGGCAACTGCCAAAGTGTCACTATCATGACTTTTTAAATACTTTTTTTATTAAGTTCACCAAGCTTATATATTTTCACCTGTAATTTTCAATCACTTCCATTAAAAAATAAATAAAATATAAAGAAATTCCATTTTGAATCAACCCTCGTAAATGTTCGACAACGTATCTTTCCCCCTCCAATTATAGCCCTTGGATTTTTGACATGATCAAGGCCAAGATAATGCAAAACCTGTTTTAATCCATTCCAGTGACAAGGGTTCGAGATTTATGGCGCATTCTGGGAAGCAAAATTGCTGTTACACAGAAAAAAATATGTTCTTTTGAAAACTGTGTCAAAGATATTTTCCATCTGCAGAAAACAGATCATTATATCTGAAATGTAAGTTGAAAAGAATGTCTAAATTTTATTACATTCTTTCTTTAAATTGAAATAGCGAAATAGTATTTTTGAAATTGCCTTATAACTAACTAAAATGTAATCTTTTCTATCATATTGATGGAAATAGTAACTGTAACCTACTGGTACTTATAGTGACCGTGTAATATTTTTGTCGCATAGTTTTATCCGAATTTATTGCTTTGGGACAGAACATAAATAATTCAAGTCGATGTAAATTCTGGAAAACAACTTTGAGTTTCACTAATTTGACGAGTTGCTTAGCGTCAATGCTAGCTGGCGGCTTAAAATGATTCAGTTTCAAAACAACTTTGGAGTGCATCAGAATACAATACAACCACTCTTCATAATTGCAGTCACGATAATTGTATATCCATGTATATACATGTAAGTAGATGACGTTCTACGGGTGCCTCGGTTATTTTTCCAATGAAATACACGGATCTCTACGGAAGCGTAAAGGTCTCTACAGTCTACACTTGTATTATATTTTTGTACATTGCCTTACTTTTTATTGTCTTATCAACATATAAGCTGTTATGGTTTCTTATTTGCATTGTATCTGTCCCCCTCCCCCCCCCCCATTGTTTCAAAAAGTTTGTTTGTTTGTTTGTATGTTGTTTAACGTCCCTCTCGAGAATTTTTCAGTCCTATGTTGACGCCACCACTTGCCGGTGGAGAGCTGCAAATTTTGTCCTATACTCGGCACTTACGGCCATTGAGCAGTGAGGGATCTTTTTCGTGCCAACACCTACTGCGACACGGGACCTCGGTTTATACGGTCTCAATCGAAAGACCGGTCTCCACGTCCCACAGTGGGATTCGAACCCGCGATGTAAGGATCAACTCCTTACTCCGCGACTCTAGAGCAGACGCTCTAACCACTGCGCCACGCAGGCGACTGTTTCAAAAAGTGACACTGGCTATGTACACTGTAAATATTTGATTTTTTTCATTCTGTTGTAAACATAGACATGAACCTCCATAGTCCCCCCCCCCCCACTCAAAAATATAAGCGGTGAATCATGATAGAAAATATATATAAGATAAAATTTAACTATCAGCACATCAGATCTAACTTCTTAATTATTACTAAGAATTATATAAAAATAATTTGTGCTTCATTGCGGCCAATCTGCATAAGCTTATAGTCAGAAAGTTAAAAGGGAAAAAAGGATGGAGGTCAGCCCAATGAAATATTTGAAAAGAAAAACAGAAGTTTAATTATCCAACTTCGAGTATTCTTTATTTTCGGGATACATTAGCGGATCTATAATATACTCAGGTAGCACAAAGATAATCTTGCCTCCCCCTCTTCAAAAGTGGTGATGGGGACAGTTGCCCCCTATAGGTATGACTATGCCTATAATCTAACTGCTGATGTCTCTCCATCCCCCTTTTTCAAAACATTTTTGTGTCATAATCGTATACGATAGCAAATACATGGTACAGGAGCTTTCACTGAATCTCGAATGAAGTGAAGATTCATTAGAATTCCCGTTCCTGCGAAGTTAATTCAATAATAATATTTTCTCACTTCTTTATCGGAAATATTCATACATTCATATCGATATATCTATATATTTATAACACTTTATATGTTGATAAGACATTGAAATATAAGACAGTAGAGACATTTGCGCTCCCGTAGATCTCTTCTATCAAATTGTCATTCTAATAAGTATTGCACGCATAATTTCAAATGAATTAAGTTGGAACCAATGTGTGTTCAAACCGTGTCTATGTTTTCAGTAAAATAAAATACAAATATACGTCTAAAACAAACCAATGAGTTTTTACTTAATTACATGTAATGTTTGCAATTATTTTAAATTCAATAGATTTGCTATATAGTTAAATAAATGATTTTTTTTTGTTTATCAGAGATCTTATAATAGGTAGTTTTGAATAAATGAATGACTCTCTACATTAATTGTTTCATTTATGTACGGAAGCGTAAAGGTCTCTACACTTATTGTGTTATAACTTTTTATATTGTCTTGCATTTTATTGTCTTTATCAACATATTAAGTGTTATAACTCCTTTTTTATATACTTATTTTGAATTGTTTTTAAATGTTTTTGCATAATTTAAGTCACCTTCTTTTATTTAATTGGTTTAATAGCTATAAGTATTATCGACTTAAAAATATATCAATTTTAAGATATTGATCAAAGCAAGATATTTAATCATTTCAATATAGAAATGTCTATATGTAAAGATAAATATATAGTTATATCTACATAAATATCTGAATATTTATGACAGAGAAGTGAGAAAATATTGTTATTGAATTAACTTCGCGGAGGCGGGATTTCAAATGAATCTTCACTTCATTTAAGGAATAACTGTCTAATTTTTTGGTTTCATGATGTGATCAATCGATTGGCTTGCGTGATAATTTGCATAAACGCCGAAACCAAAAAATCTGACAGTTATTCCTTGTATTTACATGCTCTTGATTCTGCAAATTCACGTGCTACAAGCCCCGTTTCTGTCTCTATTTGTCCCGCGCCGCACGTGATTTTTTTTTCACCACGCCTATCGATGAACCAGTAAATAAAGTATTTTTACTATTTGAAATTTTATCTCGGACAAAGACATTGGAAATGTAAATATTTGGGTTTCAGTGAAAGCTCTTGGACTGTGCCATGCATGTATTTGCTATCGTACACGATTATAGACTAAAACAGATTCAATT